GATCACATGAGGCCAATCTGAGACCAGCCTGACCAACGTGTTGAAACCCCGCCTCTACTAAAGTATAAAACTTAGCCTGGCATGGTGACACGTGTCTGTGATCCCAGCTACTCAGGAGGCTGAGGCAGGAGAATTGTTTGAACCTGGGAGGTGGAGGTTGGCATGAGCTGAGGAGATCGTGTCACTGCACTCTATCCTGGGCGACAGAGCAAGAGTCCATCTCAAAAAAAAAAAAAAAAGAAAAAATAGGCCAGGCATGGTGGCTCACGCCTGTAATCCCAGCACTTTGGGAGGCCCAGGTGGGCGGATCACAAGGTCAGGAGATCGAGACCATCCTGGCCAACATGGTGTAACCCCGTCTCTAATAAAAATACAAAAACTAGCTTGGCATGATGGCGCACACCTGTAGTCCCAGCTACTTGGGAGGCTGAGGCAGGAGAATCGCTTGAACCCGGGAGGCAGAGGTTGCAGTGAGCTGAGATCATGCCACTGTACTCCAGCCTAGCGACAGAGCAACACTCTGTCTCAAAAAAAATATATGTATATATAAAATATATATAATACCTCTATATATTATATATACGTTATATTAATATATGAGGCAGGTCTCATTTTTCTCTACTTGACAGTTGAAGAAACAGAAAAACTACAGCAGGGTTACTTGTTTAAATGTGTACATTTATGGGTGGGCGCAGTGGCTGGTGCCTGTAATCCCAGCACTTTGGGAGGCTGAGGTTGGAGGATTGCTGGTGCCTGCCCAGGAGTTAAAGACCAGCCTGGGCAACGTGTCCAAACCCCGTGTCTACCAAAAATACAAAAATTAGTCAGGCGTGCTAGTGTGTGCCTGTGGTCCCAACTATTTGGGAGACTGAGGTGGGAGGATTGCTGGAGCCTGGGAAGGCAAGGCTGTAGTGAGCTATGATCATGCCACTGTACTCCAGCCTGGGCAATAGAGCAAGACCCTGTCTCAAAAAATAATAATAAAAATAATAATTTATGTGGGCCGGGTGCAGTGGCTCACACCTGTAATCCCAGCATTTTGGGAGGCTGAGGCAGGTGTATCACCTGAGGTCAGGAGTTTGAGACCAGCCTGGCCAACATGGTGAAACCCCATCTCTACTAAAAATACAAAAATTAGCCGGGCATGGTGGTGGGCGCCTGTAATCCCAGCTACTCTGGAGGCCGAGGTAGGAGAATTACTTGGGCTCGGGAAGCGGAGGCTGCAGTGAGCCAAGATCACACCATTGCACTCCAGCCTAGGTGACAGAGTGAGACTCTGTCTCAAAATAATAATAATAATTTATGTGAATGCACTTCGGAAACATAAAAGCAGCAGTCCCCAGCCTTTTTGTGAAAGACAGGTTTTCTACAGATGGTGGGCGAGGGGATGGTTTTGGGATGAAACTCTTCCACCTCAGATCATCAGGCATTAGATTCTCATAGGGAGTGGGCAACCTAGATCCTTCGCATGTGCAGTTCACAGTAGGGTTCGTGCTTCTATGAGAATCAAATGCTGCTGATGATCTGACAGGAGATGGAGCTCAGGCCTCAGTGCTTGCTTGTTTCCTGCTCACCTCCTTTTGTATGACCCGGTTCCTAATAGGCCACAGTCTGGTACTGGTCCATCTGGGGATTTGGGGACCTCTGCATTAAAGCATCATCCTGTACACGTAATGTATTATGGATCTATGCATTTGTGTGTGTGTGTGTGTGTGTGTGTGTTTTGAGTTGGAGTCTTGCTGTGTCGCGTAGGCTGGAGTGCAATGGCACGATCTCAGCTCACTGCAACCTTCGCCTCCCGAGTTCAAGCAGTTCTCCCTGCCTCAGCTTTCTGAGTAGCTGGGATTACAGGCACCCACCACCACGCCTGGCTAATTTTTATATTTTTAGTAGAGATGGGGTTTTGCCGTGTTGGCCAGGCTCATCTCGAACTCCTGACCTCAGGTGATCCACCCTCCTCGGCCTCCCAAAATGCAGGGATTCCAGGCGTGAGCCATCGCACCCAGCCGGACCTGTGCGTTTTGTAGTCACAGATTTGGAATCGTTATTACTGGTAGTTATGTGCACTGAATAAAAGAATCGTAAATCTCCAACAACTCCTCTTCTCTGCTTTTCCTCTTGTCCTTTTCTTTCCTCCTCCCAACTATGTTCAAATCTACTAGACCCTGTGTGTGTGCTTCCTTAGCTGGTGAGCTCCCTCCTTAGAAAGTAGTCTTACTTGCCTAGCACTGAAAACTTAGTGTTTAATGGAGTTGTCTCATCCTCTCCAACCAACTGCCAGATCCATCTGTCCAGTCTCCTTGCCAAGTGGAGGTAGTTCTCCTGACTCTCCTTTCTCTTCCTTGTTTCTATTACTAGAGTACTCCTGATTGTGACATCACATTCATCCCCTGGGTGATGGAGCTTGTCACTGGGAAGGAAGACTCAGTCGGAGAATAGCCAACAAGATGGGTTACTGGGAGAATCTCTTCAGTGGCACTGAGTGGAGGCATCAGGGGGTTGGAGCCTTGTGAACAGGGAACCTGCCCCCCAACACTTGAAAGGTAAAGAGCTTTGATTCAGAATCCCATTCCAGGCCTTAACCCTCTTCTCTGTCACTTGGGATTCCTTCTGCCCTTGAAAGCCCAGTTCTTAAAACTTCTTTCTGCAGAAAGCTTTCTGTGATTAATCTGTACCATTTGTTCTTTTCTGTATATTTTACAACTTACATTAATTATTAGCTTTTACTTGTTAAGTATTTGCTTAATACGTTTATGTGTTTTTTTCCTATGTACTCATTGGACTCAAGCCTATACCTTAGTTTGAGGACAAGGATTATGTGTTTCTTCTTCCTTTTTTTTTTTTTTTTTTTTTTTGAGACAGAGTCTTGCTCTGTCACCCAGGCTGGAGTGCAGTGGCACAATCTCAGCTCACTGCAACCTTCACCTCCTGGGTTCAAGCAGTTCTCCTGCCTCACTCTCCCAAATAGCTGGGATTATGGCTAATTTTTGTGTTTTTAGTAGAGATGGGGTTTCACCACGTTGGTCAGGCTGGTCTCGAACTCCTGACTTCAGGTGATCCGACTACCTTGGCCTCCCAGAGTGCTGAGATTATAGATATAAACCACTGCGCCCAGCCACGTATTTCTTCTTTATGTCTCTATTGATAAGGAGATTATGTATTTAGGATGATGAAGTTTGGGGTAACCACACAAATAGTGCTTGGAGCTGCTGACCAACTGGGAGGTCATTGCTGGCCTTTAATGCCTGGCAGGCCTCTTTTTAGACATTAGATGAGTTCTTGAAGAATTATATGCCTTCTGGATTATTTTGTAAATTGAATAAATTAAAACTAAAGAGACCTAACTTTAAAATCCCCATGTGGTTAATTCAGTATGATCCACGGCATTCTGGAATTAGACAGAACCTTAGAACCACTCATTTCACAAGTAAGGAAACTGAGTTCCGAAGAGGGGGAGTGATTTCAGTCTAAGGGATCTGTTGCTTAAGTGAAAAAGATCTCTTCCATTCACGTAAAAAGTTAAGAGCTGCTTGGAGAGAGCAAGGTCAGTTAGTGTTAGAGCCAGGATACCTTTTATAACATAATTACCTATTAATTTATCTTTTTTTTTTTTTTTTTGAGACAGAGTCTCGCTCTGCCGCCCTGGCTGGAGTGCAGTGGCGCATGGTCTCTACTCACTGCAAGCTCCGCCTCCTGGGTTCACATCATTCTCCTGCCTCAGGCTCCCAAGTAGCTGGGACTACAGGCGCCCGCCACCACGCCCAGCTAATTTTTTGTTTTTTTTTTTAAGTAGAGACAGGGTTTCACCATGTTAGCCAGGATGGTCTTGATCTCCTGACCTCATGATCCACCCGCCTCGGCCTCCCAAAGTACGGGGATTCCAGGCGTGAGCCACCGTGCCCGGCCCCATTAATTTATCTTTTTTTTCTTTTCTTTTTTTGAGATGGAGTCTTGCTCTGTCGCCAGGCTGGAGTGCAGTAGTGCAATCTCAGCTCACTGCAGTTTCTACCTCCTGGGTTCAAGTGATTCTCCTGCCTCAGCCTCCCAAGTAGCTGGGACTACAGGCACGTGCCATCACACCCAGCTAATTTCTTGTGTTTTTATTAGAGACAGGGTTTCACCATGTTGGCCAGGATGGTCTCAATCTCTTGATCTCATGATCCACCTGCCTCGGCCTCCCAAAGTGCTGGGATTACAGGCGTGAGCCACCAGTCCGGCCTATTTTTGTTTTATATGCTCAATCTTAGAATCTTAGAATCATAGAATTTATAGAGCACCTTAGAACTTATGTAGCCCAGGATGCTTCATTTCATGTAGGGAACTGAGGCCCAGAGAGGCCAAATAAGTTGTCCAAGGTCATACATTTGGTTAGTGATAAAGCTAGAACTAGGGTTTCTGGATTCCTAACAGTTGTTTTTTTTTTCCAGAACTATTCACTGGGACACAGGGAGATATGATGAAATGTTTTAGAGACACCTATGAGATCCTTTGCCAGCTAATTTTTTGACCACATTGAAGTTTCTAGGAGTCATCTGTTTCCTTAGATCAGGGCAGGTTATGGGGCCCTTTCTCTATGTGTTTAATTGTAGTGATCAGAGCTGGAGAATCCTCAGACCTCTGCACCTTTGTTGTATTCAGGGCATAGAGGAGAGAATGGTAGATGGGAGACTACATACTTATACCTGACTTTTGCCCATATGTTTTTGCCACAAAATTGATGGCAGCATGCCCAGCTACCCAAAATGTAAATCATGGGTTAGAGTGACTTATCTAATGGTTCTCTAAGCATGTGTGCATGAATGAATGTGCATGGTTTCATCTATGCTTATGGGTTCAAGAAATCCTGAATAAGTATGGATAAATGTCCTTTAGGAAAAATGTGAATTCCTAGCTTTCTCTAGTGGGAGACCAGAGAAAACAACCACAACAGTAAGTTAAAAAGGCATAGAAAGGGGTCTGATAAGGCTCTTGCATTCCTTCATAAAAATTATTCTATTATAATGCTGACCGGGAATAAAGAGATATCCCAGTATAACACTGAGGAGGTAAAGTAGCATAGTTACCTGTTTTGGATTTGGCCTATGGAATAGGAGACTGGAAGTGCAGTTTTCATTTTGGGTTTAGTATGGTCAGATAAGGGAGGTTGGCAGAACTCTTGTAAGGCCTCAAGGGACACTTCAGTGGTACTTCAATTCAGCTCCCCAGGTTTGAGTAAAACCTCCTAAGGCCTTTTCCTATCCTACACCCAAGGACAATATCCAGGAAACCGCTTCCAGTGGCTGTGGTCACTGGCTATGACTCTTGAGGTCCCTGTGATTTCAGGTTTACTAAGGGCTACTGCCCCAGGGCAGTGAGCAGCTGAATTATTTTGAGGCATCCCCCCTGGAATGATAACCTTTCCCTATGACAACCCACTGCAGTGTCAAGAATCCCAGAGATTAGAAGGAATAGTCAAGTAAACCTAACCTGATAGATTGAGATTGTCTGCCTGAGGGCAGTGCAAGGCAGCCTAGTCTAGAGCTGACTTCCAAGGTTGCGTGTAACCATGTCAACATTGGTTTCCCATAGATGACAAATAGGAAATACCCTAACCAGATTAGAAATCTAAATTTCCCCTTAATTCTTAAGGCCACATCCCTGAAAGGGTACAGTTATAAAAAGGTGAATAAAGCAGAACCTCCAGAAAGACAAAGAGGGGTTTAGATTTAGGAATAACATTGTTTAGCATTTCTGCAGGTTTGAAAATACTGACTTTATGATGGGAACCTTAAAGCTCCTAATTTGGCTGGTGGGTTCCCATACTCTGTGGCCATCTCTGCACCAACTCAGGCAAGTTCTTTTCTGTTTATTTTGGGGGACATGGGATCTCCTGAAATCCCATTAAGAAAAATTTTCAGAATTTGTGTTCCTCCTCAAGACAATATTATTAGCATTGCTTTAAAATGAAAAGACGGCTGGACACAGTAGCTCACGTCTATAATCCCAGTACTTTTGGGAGGCTGAGGTGGATCGCTTGAGCCCAGTAATTCAAGACTAGCCTGGGCAACATGGTGAGACCCATCTCTATTAAAAATATATATATATACACCAGCTGGTATGGTGGCACACACCTGTAGTCCCTGCTACTCAAGAGGCTGAGTTGGGAGGGTCGTTTGAGCCTGGGAGATTGAGGCAGCAGTGAGCCATGATTGTGCCACTGCACTCCAGCCTGGATGACAGAATGAGATCCTGTCTTTTAAAAAAAAAAAAAAGAAAAGAAAAAATATTCAATGAAACATAGTACAAGCTCTAGGCCTATTTTCTTTCTTTCTTTCTTTCTTTTTTTTTTCTGGAGACAGTCTCTCTCTGTCATCCAGGCTGGAGTACAGTGGCTTGATCTTGGCTCACTGCAGCCTCTACCTCCCAGGTTC